AAAAAGAAATTTGGGATACCTCTGCGCTTGCAACCACAGCCGCAGAGTTACTTACGCCATTTTCATCCTGCTCTCAGCTTAGATTGCTAGCTCAACCGCACTTATATTTTATGAAATCCCAACTGAACATTGAAAATGTATGGTAAAACGGCATTAACATAATAAATCGAATAACGCATCTGTTAAAAATTTTTACGTAATTTTATTATTTCTTATTCGAATATGAGTGCTTGCACGTTAACTGAAAAAAAAAAAAAAATAGAAAACAAAAATATAATTTTACTTGATTGAACTTTCAAGATTGCTTGTTATTTTTTAAAACTTGAAAGAGTAAAAATAGTCCAAGCACCTGTTAAGAAGATAGAAAAGCGATAGAAATGATTTTTGTTTTTGTGAACTGAGTAGTCCACTTGCAAACAGCGTTATGTGATTTTATAATAGAACGCCATAAATTTGAAAAAACGACTACGACAACAAGTAACATTTAAATTGAATCTTTTTTATTACCAACTGAAAATTTGGACAAATAAGAACCTTACAAAATTGTAACATAACATAACATGACATAAGATAATATTAACAGTCTATACGACTTAAAGCAGTATTCTAAGTTCATCAGAAGATGTATACTTTTGAAAGATTATAAATAAGTATGATAGCGACTTTTGAAAGACGAGTTAACATTTATATAAAAATATATAAAAAGATTATGCACTGTCTTGTTAGTGGACATGAAACTACTTTAAATACTGGTACGTAATCCACCAAAAACTAAACATCGAAAAAATTTTACATAACGACCTTTGCAAGTGGACTACTCAAATGAGTTAGTATCGCTTTGATAACTGGCATCGGGGCGATAGGCAATAAAATTCTCTTCCAATTGCTGACAGGGGTAAGACGTATTCTACGTCAAAACAAAACGTTGATAGAAGTTTTTCCGAATTCGTAGCAGCCCACCGGAAATAAAAAACTTGTCGCCCTCAGGAATAAATTTATTGCCGGCAATATCGCCATCGTATCGATTTCTTATTACCGTCGCTCTAAAACATCCGCCGCGGGCAACTCGCCTGGGCGAGTCGTTTTCTTATTACCTGAATGAGTCGTTTTATTATTGCTACAGGCGATATTTGAATAATAATTTCTTGCAAAAATTTTATTCTTTTTTAATATTTCATTTGTTTTTGAACATATGCACATATATCGACGCCTCCAAACCATACTAGGCTAAAACGGACTAGGTCTAAGGTGGGTTAGCATGGTATGGGTTGGAGGCGTCGATATGTTGGTTGGTTGCAGTGCTTCCTAGTCGCTGCCCAGGATACAATTAGCGCATTATTGCGCCATTTTGGTCGTCGATATGTACTTTCAATTTACCTTAATAACGTTAAGTATATGTATTACAATTTAAATATCGCTGGTTTAAAGTGAAAATTTTAAAGGAGAGGACAAACTTATAGCAAATTTTTCAGGTATTTTGCGGAACTTTGAATATAACATTTTGCGTTTTTAAAGTAAGGTCCATGGGAATCAGAGAAACTCGATGCTATCTACATAAAATATATCGTGTTATTTTGACGTCGTTGAATTTCCTGTGCCTATTTTTGACTTGGCAAATTCCCTGTTCATTGAATATAAAGAAATAGAGCGAGTACCCTACTTCTCTTAGAAACGATGTATTTTTAACTCCTTTTCCTTTCTATATCAAAATATGAATTTTCACAACAAACGCACTTAGCAAGTTTTCACTCTAATGCCGGATTTCCACTAGGCATCAATGGAAAAAAATTAAATGACATACATATATACTTGGGCATTAAAAAAAATCGTGTCATTATGTTAAACAATAGATAATCATTAAATTCATTTGCACATGGCATATTTTAAATGCCTGCAATTTTATGTCATTTCAATGCCTAGTGGAAATTCGGCATAGTTAGAAATATCTATTCGTTTTCAATTAAAAATTTATTACTGTTGTTGTCTTTTTCAGGATGATTAACACAATGTTAACTAAAATTCTCAGCATCCCTTTTAAAGTCTACAGAACTAATCAAATATACAAATATCAAAAAATATGTATGTGTGCGTATTGAATTCCCAGTGCTGTATCGATTTTTTACTTTTCAGATTTTTATTGTGCTAATTTTGGCTAGTTCTGACGGCGGGCAGCAACAAAAGTATCATCTGACTATCTGAATTAGGAACCACCCATTAGCAATATGTATGCGAGCGTGCCCATGCTCCGGATTTCCAAAGTTTATATGTACATACGTATTAGATACGTGCATATGTACATACATATGTACCTGGGTATTCTAGGACTACACCAAAAATTTTGTCATTACATAAACACGATGTAGAAAACTAAGGGTCTAATTATGCATACTTCGCATAACTTCGCACAACCATTTGTACCAGTCCAATAAAAATATAACTTAAGAAAATGTGAAGTAAAATCTAACAGCCAGTTTCACCAAACTATTTAAGTGGAAATTAACTTTAATTTAAGTTTTTATTTAAATCTCATTTTAATTATTTTCAGTTTCAATAAACTATTTATTTAAGTGAGTAAAAAGTGGTTGTAAAACAGATAGGACTAGCTTTCGCTTGCATTTGTACTGAGAGCTTTTGAAAGCTTTGGCACGCTGTGTTGTAAAAGCAGGGCTGGTATACAAGTAAGCAGCAGATGCACAATGATCAGGTGATTAGACGTGTAACACCTCTGAGTGTGGTTATTCTGATTTAACTTTTATTTAAGTGCAGAGCATAGGTCACTTAAATCAATATTAAAATTGATTGGTGAAACCGAAATTAAAGTAATTTTCACTTAAATAATTTGGTGAAACTGGCTGTAAGCCCAACAGATCGCTAAGTTTTTATAAGTTCTGCTAATTTCTGGGTAATGGAACACATACAAATTAGATACAAAGTACATACGAAAATACAGTTTGAAGTTTATGCGAAGTTGTGCGAAGTTATGCGAAGTATGCATAATCAGACCAAACTGGCGACTGTATATACCGAAAGTTCGCAGTGGCATATTTAGATAGCGATTTTTAAAGGCAAAGCCGATGCTACTCTGCTTCGTCTGTGTTAGAGCGCAGCAGACATATTCGCTTTAGAGAGGAATGGAGCTAACAAAACAAATCAAAACTCAAATCATGTGCACATGTTGGCATCGTATTTAATCCAGCAACAAAGTTAACGAACCTCACACATTCGCGTACATATCCAATGTCGACAAAAGCGCAACTGAAAAAAAACATGGTAGTGGCAACAACAAACGATGCAACAATGTAATGGAAGCCCTTCAGTCGTCGTCGTCGTTGGCGACGGATTTCAGCCGTCGCAGGCGTTGTCGTTACTGAGCGCGACAAACACTCATCGTTAGCGGTGTTTTTGTTGGACAACCAGTCAGCCATTATGCCATCAAATTGAGTGAGAGAGCAAATATGAGAGAGGTAGAGTGAGAATATACATTTGTACGCCTTTGATTACTATGCCGCAAACAACAAATTCTCAAATGTAAAGATGGCCGCCACAATGGCTGAATAAGTAGAAATGGAATTAAATTGCGATAGAAGCTGATACATATACATATACGTATACAAAGCATTTGACCATTTCAACAAAGCGGAAGGAAAAGAAACAATTATTGGTGTCGAGCACTGTGGGATATATCATATCAATATGCAATAGAAATATGTGTAACGGCAGTGGCTGTTGAGAGCACCGGCTTCCGATGAAATTGGTTTATCTAGTTGAGCTTCCGCTCTTTCGATTAGAATTGCTTCGCAGCCATTGACCAGCTGATTCTTGCGGTTGCATGCACATACACATAGATACGAATTGTGAGTGTGAAGAGTAAGTGTATGTGGGGAGCTGACTCAATTTCCTAAAAGAGATTCCCTATACATATTTGCCGGGCTTCCGTAATCACCGCTTCCATTCGAATTTCTGCAGCAGCTCCCAGTGATGGAAAAGCAGGCACAATAGTGCCATTTTTGGCACTTTCATTCTCGGAGGCCCTTTTGGCACAATTCATCCTATTTTGGCACAACTATAAATTATAGAAACTTAGCATAATGTGTAACAAAAAATCACTTACTACATTATAAATAAAAAATTACAAAAAGTGAAAATTAAAAGCACTATAAAATTCAAATAAAAAATATTAAGTGACAGCTCTTTATAAAAAGCTGAATTCCATTTGTGAATACACAGCACAAATAGTAAGTTTTCGCAACAAACTTTTAATTGAGAATTTTTAGAAAGATTCTAAGATTGCAGTCCCGTTGATTTTTAATAATTTTTTTTTGCTGACGGTGTCAAATGTTTTCATCCATTTAAACAACGTTCGTACATACTTTATATGGAAAAAATGCGTGAAATTGTTAGCTTGGAATCTCTCTAAAAATTCTGAATTAAAAGTTTGTTGTTTTGCGAAACCCTGCTGATTTTTGATAATTTTTGTGCAAAGTTTGAAATGTCGATTTGTGTACATATACGGCGTTTTTTAAATTATGAGTTAGACTTTTATATAAAATCAATAAAAACTGAAACGGGATGAAATGTCTCACAGACATTATTTCGCATATAGGTATTTCGGTGTATTTCCCCTTCGTAGTTAGAATACTGTGTTATTTTACTATGAATTTATGTATACATCTATGTCTACGGAGTCCTCCATCAAAGTGATATACTGTAATAATTTTATTAATTAATAATTATTATATTACCTCAGTGTATTTTAAAAATTAAATTTCTAAAAATATATTGTTCATAAAAGGCCTTAAAAGAACGAATTTTAATTTTGTGACACTTTCATCTTCTTTTCGGCACTATTTTTGAAGAAAATTAGGCACATTTTGAAATTTTGAAATTCCATCCATGGCAGCTCCTCAATTGTTATTCAGCTGGTGACCTAAGCCGCTCGTCACTCGTTTGAAAATTGGATACATCGATTCCGCAGGTAATGCTGGCACAGTCGGTTGAGAGAGCTCGTTTGGTAAAGTCGTTTTCGTTGGTGTGAGATTGCAAATGTCGCGACGTTGAAGAGCTCATCTGAAGACATTAAGTAAAAAATAAAAATTACAAAACAAAGCCAAAAAATATAACGTTAACTACAATATTTTTCTATCTGTAAGGAGAATCATAAGCAAAAACGACTTATATTAGATAAACAACAATAACGTTGCAAAATTGTGATAAAGTAAAAAAATTGGAAGAAATATAAATGCATACATACATATACATACATACAAGAAAAAATGTGTGTATATAAAAGAAAAAATAAGGGAGAAAAGTGAAATATAACCGAAAAATTACTCGTAGGCATGTGCGTATAAAGAACATTTAAAAACCAGATTGAACTACGCCGAGGAAAATAAAGTTTTGACCTCAATCTGATGTAAGTCCAGACAAAAAGGGCGTAGTTACTCGTGTTCGCTTAAATTTGCTCTACTTCGTGTGTAAACCGCGTCTGCCCCTTTGATCGTAAGCACCAACGGTGTGTCGTATCGCCGTGCGGTGGGTCGCTCGAACAGTTCGTCAGCCTATCTGTCTATCCATTTCAAAACTCTATTCATGAATACATACTGCGTGTGCAAGTGGGACGGCTCATAAACATAACTCTCTCGGAGTGTAATATATATTCAAAGACCAAAAATTCACAGAAGCAACGACCAAATACATACCAAGTACCTTCTTAGGGTCGCTTGTTGTTGGTCGCTTAGAGACGTTAACCCAAAAAAATAAAAATCGTTCAAGGCAAAGCAATTGCTTTACTATCTGCGGCAGCGGCTACAACATCAGCTAACGTGGCAGAGTTGAGTGGATTAGGGCAGAACGAAGTGAAACGCAAAACCACTCAATATCAGAGTCTTGATACTCAATAGACACCAGCATCATTATCCCTGGCACTGCAAGGGGAAAGCAAAGTCAGAAGGAAATCAGACGAGCGGTATCCGTAATTGTCGCAGCAAACGTCGCGAAACTCGAAGCCCTGTGACATAGTCAAAATCGAAGCTGAAGCCATAAACTACCAGCAGTCATTAAGAGTTTTTTTTACATCGCTTGGGTTGGGCTGAGTATATATCTATGTATGTAGTCGGTCGATCGAACGCAGATGAAAAAACGTTATGGTCGCCGTCGCGCTTACCAAATCAAATTAATACAATTACAACTAAACTACATATACACATAGAAGCACACATAAAGAAATGAATGAACTTTATGAAGGCTGAGTTATTTTTGTGAGAGGAAAAGACAACTAAAAAACAAATAAAATCCAAAGTGTATTATTTAAATATTTTGTGAGTAAAGACTGATAAAAGTAACGACAAGATTGTTCCAAAAAATAAAATTGAACACATAGTAAAAAAACAAAAGCAGAAAATAATTAAGGATTTATAAATACATGTGCACATACGAGTTGACTAAAAAGTAAAAATTTAAAAACTACTTTACGTGAAAATAAGTACATGCTTAGTATATGCAATAAATTAGTTCAACAAAGTGTGACTATAAAATACCATTAATTAAAAAAAAAAATATTAAATACATATATATTTCTATCTACCTGCAAAAAAATTTTAAACATTTAAGTAAAACGTTAAACTCAAATTCAACAAAAAAATAACATATTATGGATTAATGTTCCTGGTAAACTAAACATTCAGAATACCCCACATATAAACGAAAATACGTATGTATGTACATATACACATAAATAGATGCCCTCTTAAATGGATTATAATCAACCGTAAATAAAAAACTACATACTTTCGTGTGAAATAAGTTCAGAAGCAATTGAAACACCAGCAGCAGAACAAAGTGATAACCGAGAACGGATTATATATACTTACATACCTGCATAGGTTCGTATGTACATACATATGTATGCATGTGCATGTATATGTATTTGTGTTTCAGAAATCCCTTGGCAATACCATATGAATAGCCATGTGCTGGCCCGAGAATAAATAGTGTCAGATGTGAACCGTTTAGATAGTGTCGATATTTGATAAAAATATAAATGGGTAAAAGGGAAACTTTCCTATGCTTATGAAACACCAGTGCCTGAAGATAAAGAAGTGCAAGAAGTGAGGTTCATGATGGATTCCAAAAAATAAAATTCGAAAGAATCCCATGCTCCAAACGCAACTCCGTTACCATTTACCACTAAAATTTTAAAAAGTAACGCAAGCAAGGAAAACCAGTGCCAACAAAAAAAAAGCAAAGTAAAATATAAATTTTGTGTCTTGCGGGAATTTATATATTATTTCGATGTGAGTGCCCCAAAGAAGTATCCAGAAAAACTACACAACGGCCAGTTGCGAAAAGTGTTCAAGTTGATTTTGATGTTAATAAAGAAAGTAAGTAAAGCTCGTGAGAAAATCTTACTTTAATTTCTGAGCCAAAGTAAACAACATCAGGGAAATATTATCAAAATGACGATGGCTGCATGCTTTGCAAACTACGATATTACCTTACCACATGGCATATCCTCCACGGCGCCACACACTGCTCCGCCCCATCATCATCATCACCACAACAGTCATAGCCATAACCACAATCATCAGCAGCAGTCACAGCAAACGCATCACCACCAACAGCAGCTACAACAACTTTACCATCCCCCGCAACAACAGCAGCAGTTGCAACAACAACAACATCACCCGCAACAGCATCCACACCATTCGCAGCCATCAAACGGTGCACCGTCGTCAACAGTTATAAGTCGTTCGTCGTCCTTGACGGCGGCGGCGCAGGCTGCCAGAGGTGGCAATGCGTCCACAGCGACACCCGCCGTCGCCGCCATTAACTCAGTGATTAGCAGCACCAACATTGGTAGCGCCAGTATTAGCAATAGCCGCACTAACAGCGCCAATACCACTAGCATAAACAGCAGCACCGGATCTACGTTATCGAGTAGCCCAACGATGGCGATCATCAGTGCCGGCGGTGTTGCGACACCACAGAAAGACTATTCCATTCCATTACACGTAGACTGTAGCGTGGAATATGAATTACCAAACCAACCCAAACCACCGGTGGGTCAGCGCGTCGAACCGTTGCTGATGATCCATCCTTGCTATTTCCGCAAAATGGAATCACAACGGCGCAGTCCTTTTGTTAACAACATGCCAGCAACAGCACGTGGCAGCACTGCCTTACTGGTAAGCGGTCTGAGCAGCTCTGCGTCGTCTTCGAGCGGTGCAGCATCCGTGGTAATCTCATCCGGTTCAACAGCGACCAGTTCTTCCGCCCGTCGTGCTGCTGCTCGTCAATCTCAGGTCATACAGCAACAACAACACCAAACTCAGCAACACATGCAACAGCACCAAGTGGTCGCTCAATATCAGCAACAGTTGCAGCATCAGCAACTGCGACAGTCATCGCAGCAGCAGGAGCAGCAACAGATGTCACAAATGTCGCAACAAGCGCATTACCCGGTGGTGGTAACACACCACCATCACAGTCATCACCAACAGCAATCGCAGCAACAGCAAGCTACGCAACAACAAGCAAGCATCGCTTCCTCCGCACCAACGTCCTCGTCTGGCTCCACAGCTGCGTACACTGAGCACGCAAGCGCAGTAAGACGCGCAGCCGCCCAACATCGAAATATCCAAAGTCGTTCCGCCTCCGCCGTCGTTAGCAATGCCAACCAAGGTCATCAGCAACAGCAGCAGCAGCACCGTCAAAACCAAAGTCACAGCCGCAGTACCTCGACCTCAATTGCCGCTGCCGCCACAGCAGCTGCCGCCGTTACCTCTCAAAGCCAACAGAATATCCTAAGCCAGAATGCCTCGCAATGGGACCAACTGGCAACGATAGCGGCGCGTTCCTCAATGACACCTGCATCAGCAACGGTTGCCGTCCACTCGAGCCAAATGCTTGCCCCGCGAAGCACACCCGCCTTATTTGGCAAAAGCCTTTCCGCCGTGGGAAAACGTGACGCAATGATATCGGGTGGCGTATACAGTGCCAGCAGCTCCGCAGCGGCAACTGGAATGACAACGCATAGCAGCAGTAAGCAGCAGCAGCCACAACACCAATCCGAACAAACGCATTGCTTGCCCAATGGCGCAATATGGGCCGATGCAAGCAGCGTTGCATCCGCTTCAGCTGCTACGTCAAACACCGCGTCGGCGCTGATGATCGACCGCAGCCCGATGGCGACAGTTCCTAGCAACTACCAGGCTGGGCCCGACACGACCCCAGCGATAGGCTCTCACTACGCCCGCGACGATAAACTCTGCGGCAAATACCGCCAGTACTTGCGATCGCAACGCATACATCCTTACTTGTCGGCGGCAACTGCGAACGCGGCAGCCGTTGCCGCGGTGGCAAATATTGGACAGACGTTTCCACAATTCGCCGCGACACCGTCTTTCCAACACCTGCAGCAAATTTCATGTTATAACGTATGATCGCCGTGAAGCGCTTTTACGGCAGCCACGGAAACAGCAGCATCAGCACCAGCGGCGGCAAATTAGAAAACCGTAAATGTTTCCCCGAGTGGATAAGTGTGGTGCAAAACTGAGTCCATGGGAAGACTGTCCCGGTGAGCATATCTTGCCGGGGAGCAGCGCGATGTCAGTGAAGATATGCGATATCAGCGAAAATGTTGCGAAGCTTTTGAATTTAGCTTATTTCGCAGACGATGTTGAACGGATGGATGGTAGTCTAAAATTGTAGTAACATTGTTATATAAAATTATTCTTTATAATTATCAATACCCAAAATCGTATTTCGATACACAAAAGACAACGTAAAATTAAATTTAAATAGTAAAATAAATGTTGCAGGAGAATTGATAAATTGTTAAATTAATATTGAAATCAAACAAATAAAAAAAGGTTTGCGAATATGTATTGGAACTGCAAATTAATACAAAAAAATCGCCGATATTAAAAACAACAGCCGTCGACGAGCCGGACAGTTACTTGAACATAAATCCTTGAATGCTTAAAAGTTATTTTTATTCGCTTGCATTGTAGGTTTGAAGTAAAAATTATGCGTGTAGGGCTTAGGTTTTGTGGCCCTAGCGGTTTGTGTTGAAGGCACTACAGATGAGTGGGATATAATCTACATTAATGTTCATACATGCATATATTTATGAAGTGTAGGGTTAAATACGTACTTTTGTGTGGACAAGTTTTTTACAAGAACGCCGACGGTATTTGAATTTCATTGTGTACCGCCGGGTTTTGTATTTTTCAATTATTCGCGCATCGTATGCTAAATGCACTAAAACAACTTAAAAATTTGTTACGCCACATAAAATGTATGGGTCTCTCTGACGAAGAATGCCGAAGTGAATTGTTTCATATGAAAGTTGTGTAAGCACCTAAACTAAACTTACGCGTTTTTTTAATCGATATTTAACTTTGAAATGCTATTCGTTGCTTATGCATTATTTAACGACTTTGTGCAAAATCCCGTTTATCATCAGAAACTAATGACCTTCGACGAATTCGTTTCATCACACTTTTTTAATTCTTTAATTAGTTTTATATTTAATTTAATTTGTCTTGCTAACACAAAACACTTGTCTGTGAAATTTCCACACTAAAAATGCGCTGTAATGTGTAAAATTAATACATACAGAAATGATTAAATCGAGTGATTAAATTGAAATACAAATAAGCGAAAAAATATGAAAATAAACTGAGTTAATGAACGAATGTGCATACATATTTATTTGTGTAAGTGAATTTAGTGTGCGCTTTTTTTTAAAAATTGCGCGTCTAGTGCGAACCTCCATTTTTCCGCCGTCTTCCTGCCTATGCGCCATTTGACAGAATAGCCGTCGGTTACTGTGCTGGTTGGTGGCATTTCGTTATTGCTATATTTGTTTTGTCTATTAATTTTTCGCATTACTTCTATGAGATTGCGCTCATTTGGGTCAAACAAACCAGAATTATACATTTGGATTAAATATGTATTTATTTTGGTTTTTATTATTTCGTGGTGGGTTACTTAAAAATCTACCTTTGCTTTCGTCTCGACTACAGAATAGATCTCATTTGATTCCTAAAAAGCATATCTCTTTAAATAATTTTAATTTTCTTAGTAAACACATGTCGGTCAATTCATTCTGCTTGTTTCGATGTACATAGAACTGTACGTTAATTACAGCGGATGTAGTAACCAGAATGAGGTTTACAAAACTAAACAAATGTAAAAGCAATAAGCCGCAATTAATCGTTAAACTGAAAATTTAAAATAGTCGATAGTTATTTGATCGGTCACGCTTAGAGGTCAGCTAAATTTTGAGCTGTTCTTTGCGAATGTAAATTGGAGCAAACATACATTGGTAGCCGATAATGACGACAAATCTTGAAACAAGGCTATATACAAGTAAAACAATATACGAGTAACTAGCAAATAGTAAATGCGTAATAATAATTATGCTGATAATACGTAAATTCATATACATACATACATATGTATGAAAATTCACGCCGGGATGAGCTAATATCCCACATAAACAGCTTTATGAAACAAAAATAATTGACCATCTAATTATTAATTCATAAGACAAACATCAATTAGGAGCGCATTCTTATATACATATATGTACATACCTACCGCCAAGGCCGTATTTAGGGAGGAGGAGGGCGGGGGCCTTGTAGGTGTTCTGACCAACCAACGAAATGTAGAAATGTTAGATTTTAAGGTACTTAAACAAAAAAGGCAAAATGAGCTTTAAAAAAGGCAAACAAAAATTATATATATTTTTTAATTTTGTTATGTACTTCTTTTATGTACAATGTGAAGGTCCAATGAAAGATATAAAAAAATACATACAGTGGTCAAAAAATTATAGCCGAACACCTTTTTGCCAGGCTTCAACGTATTATTTTTGTTGTTGTTGAACTTTTGCTATTTTTTTTATAAAAATATAGTTCATTCTTTAACAAAACCCGTGTAAATCCAAGTTTCTTCATTTGAGTAGTCCACTTGCAAAGTGCGCTATGTAAATTTTTTACGATTTTTAGTCTTTGGTGAGTAACGTACCAGTATTTAAAGTAGTTTCATGTCCACTTACAATACAGTGCAAAATCTTTCTATATTCTGAAAAAATAGAGAATTGCAAAAGTCTCTATAATACTTATGTGTGTATTTATACACTTTCAAAAGTCTCCATCTTCTGATGAACTTAGAAAACTGCAAGAAAACGTGGTAGTTTAGGTGCCTAGTGGAAGGCGTCGTAAAAAAGAAGCAGGACAATCTTCATGGAAGAGAGAACGCGAAAAGCTAAAATAAGATAGCTATGTAAATGTTACTGTTCCAAAACTCGCTAAATTAAATTTTTATATATAAAATTTGCAAAAACTACCACAGTACGGTTTTGTTTTTTTTAATGTTATTAGGCTCTTGTTTATCCAAATTTTCAGATAATAAAGAGAAATATACAATTTGGATGTTAGTTGCTGTTGTAGAGGTTTTTTTACTTTATGGCTTATTATTAGAAAATCTCATAACGCTGTTTGCAAGTGCAATATTAAAAAAAAATTCAACAAACTTTCGAACAAATTTCGAACTTTTTTAAAAATTCTAAAATATTTAGACTATGTTCAAACAGGCCAGTTAGCTGAGGCAATTAAGCTTTAAATTTCGGAATTGAGTTTTGTGTTCACATATATGTCAGCTGCGCAATTAGAGATACGAAATCAGCTGCTGGATTACCTACAGTGATGGAAAAGTTGGTACAATCGTACCTTTATTTAGTTTGAAGGTGCATTCGGTACAAACACACAATTTTAGGTACATTTGGAACGTAGCCAAATAACTCTCAGAAATCAGTTCTTATTTTTATTGACATTTCAATGTATTTTCTGTTGCGGGCAACTGGTCCAATACCTTCCCTCCTTTGTGAATGGGCATACAAATGATACAAAAAGGTGGTCAAAGTAACGCAACTGTAGTTGATTTCGCCAGATAGACGGAAAATATTTATTTTTAAACGTCAGAACGGAGAACTGGGAGGAACTTAATTCACCTTTTCTACAACATAGTTTTGTCACGCGCTGCTCGAAGAGATTCTTTTCATAGCCAAAATTTGTTTAATGTGAGTACAAAAGTTGATGTGGTATCGATGGGAATTTTTATCCTCCTATCTTCTTTATATAGAAATACATATTTACTTTTTGGGTACATCTATCCACTTTTAGATAAAGCTTTCCGTAAATTAGATACAATTTTATAATTAAATTTTCCATCCCTGATGGAATATCAGCTCTAAAAGAGGGACAGAAACAAACAGCTGATTGCTCTTTGTTCAATAAACATAGCTCAAAGCCAAAATTAAACATACCTAGCAAGGTTGCATAGAGAATCTGACACAAATTGCCAATTAATAATTAATTGGCAATTAATAAATTGAATTTTTGTATGATAAATTGGGTAACAATTAAGGCTTAAATTGGTGAAAAGGTTCTTAATTGCCAATTAGACCCCTGTTTGAACATAGTATTAGCCATTTGAAATTGGACTTTATTCTACTAGAATTCAATGGGCTACAAAACTGCATAAAATGTGTTGAGTTTCTTTTTTAAATTGCATAAAATTTTAAGGCAGTGTAACCCGATTGGTGCATTTGTTCAGATTTGTATATTTTTATATTGGTACAAAAAAAGGGATAAAAAATTGGATAAATTTTTTTTGTAGTCAAAACATTGGTACAATACAGCGATGTTCTATTGAAAATTTTCAACAAATTAATTTTCGTGATTGGGATAAAGGAAAATATTTTGGGTGTTTACACAATTGGAATACGATTTGCACCAAATTTTGGCAAATACCCAATCGTGTGACACGATTTGCATCAAATTTTGCCAACACCCAATCGTGTGGCACTGCCTTTAAACTCGTATTTATAGGATGCATTTAAGGAAGNATGTTCTATTGAAAATTTTCAACAAATTAATTTTCGTGATTGGGATAAAGGAAAATATTTTGGGTGTTTACACAATTGGAATACGATTTGCACCAAATTTTGGCAAATACCCAATCGTGTGACACGATTTGCATCAAATTTTGCCAACACCCAATCGTGTGGCACTGCCTTTAAACTCGTATTTATAGGATGCATTTAAGGAAGGAACTATAAAAAAACTAACCAAAATTAAATAACAGCAAAAATAATATTTTAAAACTGATTACTCGTCCGTGCTATCATAGTAGCACAATGCCACTAAGCTCATTTCAAAATTTTTAGGCAATGGCCTCATGCGACGATCGATTATATTTTTTGTTGTTGGTGTGAAATATTTTTCTTTTAATTCTTTTAATCAAAATATGTTGAAATAAAAGTGAAACTAAAAACAATTTTGCTAGAACCGCACCCTCCCTCCCACCCCCTTCGAGAAAAAATCCTCGCTACGGCATATAAATATGTACATATATACAAAAGTAGGTACAGCCGTTTGTACGCAGATACACAAAATTAATGAATAATAGGTCATACGTAAATAGACATTAGTATGTTTAGATGGACATACATACATTAAGCTAGAAAACATGTAGAACGGAAATATGGAATAATGAAACACGAAATTGTACAAACAACAAAATTAACCAAGTACTTAATGTCTGCTTACAGAGTCGAAGCAGTTAAAAGTAAATTAAAAATATGGTAGTATGGTTCGAGATGAGATGAGTAGAGAAGATTACAGCAGTTTGATCAAGATTTGACTATGGACTATATAATAGAATACATACATAAATACATATGCATATAATAACTACATACAGACTTTTTTGGGTATCAACAGTGCGAAATGACTGCCAGTGGACCGACGGATG